GAATAGATAGTTAGGGTTGGTCGCGGTGGCTTCACATCTGTAACCAAGCACTCTTGAGAGGCTGAGGCAGGGTGGCATCACCGGCCTGCGGCAACATGGGTGAACGCTCATCTCTACTTTTTTAATACAAAATTATGGGCTGGCAATGGTGCTCACGCACTAGTGTGCCCAGTCTTTGGGGGGCCAGGGCAGGCAAGATCACCTGAGGTCAGGACTTCAGACCAGCGCTGGCCAACGTGGGTGTGAAACCCCATCTCTACTAAATGGATTCCCTACTGCCTTGGCTCCGAAAGGCGGATGGGATTAAGGCATGAGCCATGCACTCGGACCTACTATTATTATTATTTTTGAGCTAGGTTCTCAGTCTGTTGGCAGACTAGAGTGCAATCATGGCTCACTGCAGCCATGAACTCCCAGACTCAAGTGATCCTTCCGCCTCAGCCTCCAGAGTAGCTGGGACTACAGACGTGCACCACCACACCTGGTTAATTTTTAATTTTTATTTTTTGTAGAGACAGGTCTCCCTATGTTGCCCAGCCTGGTCTCGAACTCCTGGGCTCAAGCGATCCACCCATCTCCACCTCCCAAAGTGCTAGGATTACAGGTGTGAGCTGCCACACCCAGCCTGGTCCCATATCATAGTGAAATGGTGCCTGTAAAATTCTCAGCATTGGCTTGGCACATGCAGTTGGTACTCAATAAACGGCTGTTGCTATCCCCAGAATTGCAAGCAGTATCCGTCTCTGACATTCGTGCAGACACCCTGGCGGGAGGGAGTGGGAGAGATTTGCCCAGGGACTGAGTGGGTGTGTGCTCGTGCTTCTGAGTTTGGCATGAGACCACCAGTGGGGCCAGTCAGGCCGGGGAGCCTGGTCTTGCATCTCACTCTCCGCCCAGGCGAGGCAAGCGGTAGGCGGCCAGGTATCTGCCGCAGCCGGAGACGCCTACAAGGCTGGAGGTGGGTGTAATGGCAGTACAGGAAGCCCTCATGGTGAATATCCTGGCAAGGAGACAGCAGTTAGGCTGGAGGAGGACTCAGCTCATTCAAACACCATCTGCTGACTGGATGCGGCGGATCACGCCTGTATCCCAGCACTTTGGGAGGCCAAGGCAGGTGGATCACTGGAGGTCAGGAGTTTGAGACCAGCCTGGGCAACACGGTGAAACCCCGCCTCCACCAAAAAAAAAAAAAAAAATTAGCCGGGCATGTTGGCACATGCCTGTAGTCCCAGCTACTCACGAGGCTGAGGCAGGAGAGTCGTTTGAACCCGGGAGGAGGAGGTTGCAGGGAGCTGAGATCATGCCACTGCACTCCAGCCTGGGCGACAGAGCAAGACTCCGTCTCCAAAGAAGAAAAACAAAAAAAACAAACGCCATCTGCTACCCTCTTTGTGCGTGACTCCCCAGGCAGCCTCCAGTGCAGGGAAACAGCCAAACACAGACACTCTGGCCTGTAGGGTCAGAGGTATGGACGAAAGGGTGGGAGAGAGGCTGCAGGAGCCAGAGAAGGGGGCTGGGGAGAGGGACGGCAACTGTCTGATGGGTCTCTCCCCTCTCCTTCCAGAACCAGTGGCTCTGAATATCAGCGTCGGAACCAACGGAACCACTATGTATTGGCCAGCCCGGGCTCAGAGCACGACGTACTGCATTGAATGGCAGCCCGTGGGCCAGGAAGGAAGCCTTGCCACCTGCAACCTGACTGCGCCGCAAGACCCGGATCCGGCTGGAATGGGTAATGGCCTGGAATGGCCTGCCTCTGCTCCTCCTCTGTGCCCTCCCTTTTAGCTCCTGGTGGGTTCAAACCTGCAGGGAAGGCACATAGCGGGTGTCTAAGGCCCAGAGAGGTGTTGCTGCTTACTCGAGATCACACAGAGGTAGGGACAGGGTGAGGTTCGGAGCCTCTCACCCATATGGGTCTGGAACCTCCTGCTGGCATCCTGATCTCAGTTCCAGGCAGATCGCACACCTGCAGGTAATGAATCTCACATCCTAAGGTGTTTGTTAAATATTCAACTGCGCCAGGGAAGGTGGCAGTTTGTGAGATGCTGGTGGCAAATTAATGAGTCTTTAGGGAAAGAGGGGACTGTGAGGCTCAGGTAGCCTCTCACTCTCCTGCTTCCTGCTCTGGGCCTTGCCAGAGTCGCAGAAAGCCTCAACCTCAGCCTGTTCCTTGAGGAATTCACAGCCTGAGGAGACAGAACTGGACACGGAACCCCTGACCCCACTGGCCTGGCAAGGTGGCTAACGCCTGTAATCCCAGCACTTTGGGAGGCTGAGACAGGTGGATCACCTGAGGTCAGGAGTTCGAGACCAGCCTGGCCAACATGGAGAAACCCTGTCTCTACTAAAAATATAAAAATTAGGCAGGCATGGTGGTACACATCTGTAATCCCAGCTGCTCA